CTCTTATATATTTTCTTGTAGTATATATATTGTATCTTATGTATATATATTATAAGTTATTACTTATATATTTTCTTGTAGTATATATTGTATGTTAGGCGTATATATTACCTTATATATTTTGTATGTTATGTGTATACAATTTTTTTTTTTAAAAAAAAAAAAAACCGTTGGGCCCGTTAGGCTAGCCAGGACCGGCCCAGGACCGGCTGACGGTCCCGGGCTCGTGGGCTAATTTATGAAGACCGGCCCGTCACGGGCTTCTCAGGCCCACCAGGACCGGCCCACCAGGACCGTTAGGCCCGTTAGGACCGCGGGCCCGGTCCGGTCCGGTTCAGGCCCGGCCCACCAAGCAGCATTACTTTGACATCCGTTTCAATTTTGACAAAAATACCTTTACCAAATCCCTCCCCATGAACGGTTGCTCCAACTTGAATTGAAAAGGGCCAAATTGCCCCTGAACTACTCGAAATTAGCCATGTTTCTTATTTCTATGATGTTTGATTCTGTTACTCTCCCTTTTTTTTTCCTACTGTTGCATATGCTCTAGTATTACAATTACATCACAAAATGTATTAATTATTACTTCATCCGTCCAAGTTTACTTGTCCACTATTAATTTGGCACATCCCTTAAAAATCAATAAATAACACAGTTTTACTATATCGCCCTATTTATTATATGATGGAAAATGAATTGAAAACAAGTACTAGTACTTAATAAGAAGGATAAAATAGGTATAAATAGTAAGTAAAAGCGGACATCTACTTTTAATATAATGGACAAGTAAACTTGGACGGAAGGAGCGTATGATTATGTGATCATTAGTATGTGGCCATCTCAAAAACTTACTGTTTGGCACAACTATAATTTGTTAGACTAGGCGAATAGTATGAGCTGAAGCTAGGAGTTTGTGGTAGTACAGATCAATGACTTATAATCTCTCTTTTGAACAATATATACTCTATTTCAGAATGCTCTTTTGGACTTTGGGAAGGTTGTGAATGCGAAACAACAGGTAGTTGCTGGAACCATGTATTATATAACACTCGACGCGACTGAAGGCGGAAAGAAGAAAGTATATGAAGCCAAGATTTGGGTGAAGCCATGGGAAAACTTCAAGGAAGTTCAAGAATTCAAGCCTGTTGGCGATGGCCCAAATGCTTGACTAATACTTGGTATGAAGTACTCTTATGTTGGTGAAAAATAACGCCATTTTTATCTGGAAATATTTTGGATGTCGTCTTGTAAACATATATCACTAATTTAATGTTTTAAGATACTGGAAATGGTACTTAGTTCTTGATGTTCTGTATTTATTTGATACTGAGCTGTATGGGTTGTTTCTTACACCATATGCTAATCATTAGTATTCTCCATTACTACCTTGATTTTCTGCTCCTAATGTATTTGAGAAGCTTAAGCAATTGCTTAGGTTACAATATGTTCTCTTTGTTTTCTGGAATTAAGACTGTCAATTGGCGATTTAGTAGGTTGGTATCGCGCCCCCTTTTTCCCTCCTTTTCGTCGGAAAATCAGGTTTATGACATTTTTGGGTATAGAACAACTCATTCCTTTTGGGAACGGGGTTTGAATTTTTGAAGAGTTGTCACCTAATGATTTAAGGTGCATTAGGACACCTATAGGGTTCATTTCTAAGTTTGTTTGATAACCAGAGATAGGGTAAGTGCTTGAAATTATCTTAAGGAGAAGGTGTTAGACAACCCTCAGGATCTACTAGTGTGGTTCCCGGCCAGACAGTTTTGTGAATTTGTACAATTAGCAAATAGACAAGTATAGGCTCAAATAGTAGGGGATTTAAGTTTAAACACATAAGAGTTTGAAAACAATCATTAAAAGGCGAATTTTAAAAAGGAATTACAGTTTTACAAATACTTGAGAATATAAAAGGGGGGAGGGGGAGGTCCTAGGTTTGTTTATAATATGGATCACATCAATGCGATACCCGGTATGACACTCCTCAAAAGAGGGGATACACGTGGTATTAGCGCACCGGTCATCATATACATATCTACCATTCCCACATCATTAAGGTATTAAAGTGTGGATTGGTCTTTGCATGCTATTACCCGTCCTATTCCAATTAGTCCCGGAGGAATTTAGGACTACTATTCCTATTAGAGGGAGGATTTTAGGCTGACTCTTAGGTTTTAAAGGTAAAAGGCTAAGGCGACAGACAAAAAACATATAGGACTACATTTAAAGGGGAAACACATAAACAATTAAGAGGTTCATATATACCTCCGCAGACAATGTATATAAATAGCATGACTTAAACACAGTTGGGTCAGAATTTAAAGTACTAAGGCAGAGTGTTTTGATTATTGAAGCAGACCAATTTATTACATAACTCAGATAAGAAGTCCGAAACAGGCTTGCCTGCTGGTTGTAGCAGTGTTAATTAAACACAGGCGAGTTCAGTTTTATTGTTATTACCTAAGGCTTGCCTAGGCGCAGTAGTGAGCATGATATCAATTACTGATTAGGGGCGTAATAAAAACAGTAAACAATTTGAAACGAGCGATCTGGATCCTATAGACATGCTTTCTAACCGTATTTAATTCAAAAGAGTAAGTTATTTAAATTGGTTCAGAACAGGACGCGTCAAACCGATTTTTTAACTAAACTGGTTTTAGATCCTATAGACATGATCTCTATTATAGCCGATTTTAATTCCTACAAACATGGTATCTAAGTATTAAAGGTTGATTTTGGTCCTATAGGCATGGTATCTAAATTGAACATGAAGTGAAGCAGGCAGGATTCATTTGGTCACAGCGAAATTCCTATAGGAATGATTTCTATGAAAAAATGATTTTTTGATCTTATAGGCATGACATCTAGTTTCAAAGTTAATTTTAATCTTGTAGGCATGATGTCTGATTATAGCCATTTAGATCCTATAGGCATGGTATCTAAGTGTGGAAGTGAAACATGCAGAATTTATTAAACAGATCCTATAGGCATATTATCTACCTTTCTAATAGCTAAAGCATGCATAATCACCCAATCCCTTTTCACTAGCCAACCCCAATATTTGTTACAAATTATTATAGACCAAAAATTACTGAATTACATTAGAAAAGTGCAAAAATAAGAAGTTACAACCATAGGAAACCTGATTCTTGACTTCCTCTTTGAGTTATGGAATAATCTACCTCAAATGCCAATGTCGTTTCAAAGCCTTTCTCAGACCTGGGTGTGTCAAAGTTCCCTAAGGGCCTCAAGGGACCCCGGGCAGTGCTTACACCCACGTTTGCATAACCAGACAGAAATGAGTGCAGTGTGGAAGGGACAGCCCTTATGTGTCCAAGTTCAGAGGGAGCTCAAAGGTTCCAAGGCAAGGCTCACACAAGAGGGGCACAACCTAATATCTAAGACTATAGTGGAAGTGCAGAACATACAATTTTTTTAAAAAAAGAGTTTGTTTAAAACTGGACTGGTAAGTCCATTTTTTTTAAGGTAATCAGTAGCAGAAGTGTTTAAAATCAGTTGGGGTAATGATCAAAATACAGAATTAATAGTCATAAAAGGGGTCAAAGGGGTTTTGGGAATACATTGCTTGTAAGCACATGACCCAACATGGGTCCTGGTTTGGTCATGCACAGCAATAGGTGATGCTAGCATGGCCACAAACCAACCAAAGGAACACCAACACATAGAGGGGATACGGGATTTGGGATTCATACACATAGGAGAGCATTAATTTAAAAGGGGAAAAGAACATATTTCAGCATGTTATTAATGTAACTTGACTGCAGAAATATAAGCAGAAGTAGACAAAAATGAGAGAAGTTGGAACAATTAAAAAAATATGTTGTTGTTGATGCTTGAAAATTAACTAAGACATACTAGTAGAGAAGCAAAATGCAGAAAGGAAAAGTAAGCAAAATTCCACAGTCTAGCCTTGGCTTTCAGCCAGCTAGACAAAAGCAGTAGCACAAGTAGTAGTAGAGAAAAGAGAGAAAGTTTTGAGTATAAGTGTGTGTTCTTGAACTCAAATTGTCCGTTTCTTTGAAAGAAGAAGGGGTGAGTATTTATAGTTTTGAAGACGAGTGAAGAAGAGGTAAAGTCTTAAACACAAACATGGAAATAATCATAATCAGAATCAATTAACACAAATGATTCCCTTTAATTAAGGAATCACTGTTTAACGGGTAGTAACAGGTTTAATTAAGGGAAAAATCAGTTTGGGGATAGATTGATTATTGCCATATAAGGGGGCAGTAAAAGTATGAAGTAAATAACCAAGTCTAAGTACAAAATAGGCTTATTTTGGGAAAGGATTCAGCAAGGTAAAATATCACAGTAAAGGAAAGGAATCAATTAATTTTAAACAGATGAGTAAAAATTAGGGCTCGTAAGAAAACCTTTTACAATTAGTCGGAAGATTGAGGAAATCAAGATCAATCAAGAAAGGAACATGATTCTACACTTCACCATATAAATAGCAAGGGATGAACAAGCATGCAAAGTTAAACATGTTGACAAAAAGAAGCAACACAAACATACAATAGCAGTGGAGGTAAGCTAGGGCTCAGTAGCAAGAAAATATTCGAAGCACAGTAGTCAAGGTCAAGTAGTTACATAGAATCAACAGTGAAGAAGAACATAGTAACAGGTAAAGAGAGCCATAAACAAGTAAAGGTCTCACAGTAACAAGTGAGGCAAAACTTCTAAGAAATTAGGGCTTCAACAGTAGTCGAGTTTAAGAGGTGATAAGAACTCAAATCAGATAAGTCAAACAAGGAAAAGAGAGTCATAAACGAAGAACTTAAAATAAGCACACATTTAAGCAAACAATTTCAGAACTCGGATAAGACTAAAAGGGAACTAGGGTTTTTAACATGCTGAAATAGATAGAAGAACAACATGAGCAAACCGTTTTAAACATAGCAAAATCACAGACAACATTAAAATCAGAGAAGAGCTCTTTTGAAAAACTTAAAGGAAAACCTTAATCGTAGAAAAATGAAGAGTCGTTTTAAAAGAAAAGTTGAAGAACCTTCGAGAAAGCACTTATAAAGTTCGTAGTAAACACAGATCTAAGATAGATCTGAAGAAAATTGCAAGATCTTAAAGATTAGGGTTTCAGAAAACCCACAAAAGATGACAAAGACCTTGAGAGTTACAGATCTAACTAGGAAAGTCAAGGATCTGCCTTGAAAGACCATGAATGGCCGGAGAAAGGTCATGGATGGCCGGAGAAAGGCCATGAACAGAAGTCGAGCAAGGACTGGACCATATTCCTTCGAGGTCTGGCCATAAAACCACAGAAACAAACACCCAGGAGCCATAGGAGGCCAATATACATCTCAAATGGCCATGAGAAGCCATGGATTAGGCAGGGGTTGAGGTGGATTAGGGTGGAATTAGATGGCGGCGGCTAGGGTTCATGTGATGTTGCAGAGAGAATTGAGAGGGAAGGGATTCAGAGGCAGCGGGTGGTGGGAAATGAGTTAGGTTTAGGGGTCGTTCAGGGTTAAAATGGTAAGGGGAAACGGTGGTCGTTGATCTAAATGATCAACGGCCTAGATTTAAAAGGGTAAGTGGGGAATCCGGGTTAGGCCGATTAAACTGGGTTAGGGGTTGGGTTTAAATGAAATTGGGCCAGGGAAATTCGGTCTGATTTGGGGTCAGATTTAGGCTACAATTAAAATGCAATTGGGCTATTATTTAAATAGCCAATTTTCCCCTTTTAAATTTATAAAAAGGGATGTAGGATTCCTTCAAGCATGTCAATTCTGGATTCTTCTTCAAACCCATCATTTTGAGAAAACCCCTGCCTTTGTGGTTCTTAGGCATTAGCAAACCCGGAGTTTCCCACACAAGACTGGCCAATCCTCCTATCTCCTCTAGCAAGGGTGTCGTTTCAATGTCCCCAAAGCGGAACACAGTCCTTTCACAATCCCAAAAAAGTGTGGCAGCTTCTATGATCTTGTTGTCAGGTTGGATCTCTAGGAGGGAAGGTAGATTTCCCAGATATTTTCGGACGAAAGTTTGGTCATTGGAGGGCAAATCTCTCCACCAACTTAGCAGTCTTGGGTGGATGTTGGTGACCATGCCGAATCTAGGGACTTCGTGCCTCATATTTCTACAAGACAGATAAGGTTAGCCCTTACCCCCACCAGACTCGACTATTTAATA